CCATCCAATTTCTCAAGCTCGTCAAGTATGTTATATACTGAATATATATATATATATATATATATATATATATATATATATATATATATAATATATATATAATTTTGAGCACTTTTTTTTAAACAGTAAATGCTACTAAAATGTGTTTTTTACTCCATCTGTTCTGTCTTTTATTTGTTTATATATATATATATATATATATATATATATATATATATATATATATATATAAACAAGTATAGGATTGGTGTATACGGAATAAATTCAGTAACAAAAAATACTATTCTTAAAAAAAGTGCTTTATACAGAGTAGAGCAAATATAATTTATTCGAAAATTCTAACATAAATATGCTTTATTATAACATTTGTCATAATTTCGAATAAATAAATATATATATATATATATATATATATATATATATATATATATAATGTGAAAATATAGAAAATAGGAAGAAACTAGTTAGGTAAATAATCCAAAAGTCCCTTAGTATTTTAGTTATTATTTTTAAAAAATAGTGCTCGATACAAAAAGTAGAGCATAAATATAATTATTTATTTAAAATATGATTCAAAACGCTACATAAAAGTCTCATGTTTCAAAACAAAGCCAAAAAACTTCAATATAATTATTTAAATTAAATTGAGTTAAAATAAGCTCTGTTCCATCTTCTAGCGAAATTTTTTTTTGGAATATATATATATATATATATATATATATATATATATATATATATATATATATAAAAATAGAAATCAAAGATTAGCTCATTCGAATAGCTATTTCAGCCTACAAGACTTACTTTATAGGCAGATGAGGTGTTGTTGGTTTCTATTTTATGTAATCTATATATGCTCTGTTATAATAAATACATTGAGGTCATTTGTGGATCAGTTTTAATGTTTTTATATTATTAGGATTCACTTGGATCATATATCAACGCATTATTATATATATATATATGATGAAATATTCTAAAATAAAGTTTTAACGTGTGGACCCGAGTGTTTTCACTCGGGCCACTGGTATATGCTGGTCTTAGCTGGTCATAGCTTGTACAAGCTGGTCATAACTGGTCTAAGCTAGTCATAGCTGGTCTTGGCTTGTCATAGCTGGTCTAAACTGGTCAGAGTCGGTCCAAGCTAGCCGTAGCCGTGATACCACCAGAACAGGGACGGAGCCCTGTGCCAGGTAATTATGAGACGTTAGCCTTATGTGACGCATAAGATAATATACAGGAATGTTATGATGGAAGACACTGACGTTTTGTCTCTATTGGGGATTGAGTTTGCGATTTTTCACTACTAGCGGGATCCAGATTTGTCGTTTTCTAATGCGTGTATTGCCTGTGCATAGGTGCTGTTTGCATTCGCTAGGTCACTCTTGCAGTGACTGCGCGCAGTTCTGAATGAAATAAGGGTTCTTATACACTGTCTCTCTGACACAAATGGAACCATTGAAGAAGGTGAAGCATGGCCGCAGCACATTTAGGCATGAACCGTGGCTGACCCTTTGACTTTTGTTGGTATTTTTGTGGGAGATTGGGAGATAAAACTTTCTATGCCGGAGAGAATCCATTCGGAAGTGAGGGATGATGTGTTGGAAGCTACATTTTTTAAAAAATACTGAGAGATGTTGTTCGTTCGTTCTTTCTTTCTTTCTTTCTTTCTTTCTTTCTTTCTTTCTTTCTTTCTTTCTTTTTCTTCCCCGTATTCTCATTGTTTGTTAATCTTCCTTTTTTGTCTTTCGTTTTTTCTCGTATTCCCATTGTTTTAATCTTTCTTTCTTTCTTTCTTTCTTTCGTTCTTCCTTTCTTTCTTTTTTTATTTCTTTCTTTCCCGTATTCTCTTGTTTGTTAACCTTTTCTTTCTTTTTTCTTTCTTTCTTTTCTTTCTTTCTTTCTTTCTTTTTCCCGTATTCTCAATGTTTGTTAATCTTTCTTTCTTTCTTTCTTTTTTCTTTCTTTCTTTTTCTTTCTTTCTTTCTTTTTCCCGTATTCTCAATGTTTGTTAATATTTCTTTTCTTTCTTTCTTTGTTTTTTCTATTTCTTTCTTTCTATTTCTTTTCTTTATTCTCTTAATGTTTTCTTTAATCTTTTTTTCTTTCTTTCTTTCTTTCTTTCTTTCTTTCTTTCTTTCTTTCTTTCTTTCTTTCTTTCTTTCCCGTATTCTCATTGTTTGTTAATCTTTCTTTCTTTCTTTCTTTTTCTTTTTTTTTCTTTCTTTCTTTCTTTTTTTCATTTGTTTTCTTTCCCTTTTTTGTATTTCGTTTCTTTCTCAATGTTTGTTAATCTTTCTTTCTTTCTTTCTTTCTTTCTTTCTTTCTTTCTTTCTTTCTTTCTTTCTTTCTTTCTTTCCCGTATTCTCAATGTTTGTTAATCTTTCTTTCTTTCTTTCTTTCTTTCTTTCTTTTTCTTTCTTTCTTTCTTTCTTTCTTTCTTTTTTTTCTTTTTGTCTCGTATTTCCATTGTTTGTTAATCTTTTCTTCTTTCTTTCTA